AGGTGCGCCACATTCGGATCATGACCCCAATTTCCTTCATTCTAACGGCTGCACCTATTTGTTTATATGGCCCGTTGTTCTCATTTGCTGCTGAGCAGTCACGCAATCCGTCTCCACGTTCAGCTTCCCCACGGGCAGAGGAAATCGCAAGCCCGTTCACTCCGCGAAACGGTCCCGGCAACCCCTTCAATGCTGCCCATGCACGCATCCCTAGCATTGGATCTACGTTGCGCGCCGTGTCTAGCGTCATAAATAACGTCATTGCCCCCGACGAGGGCTGGTCAAATAACGACCATGGTGCGTCCGTATGCTGATGTCGTATTCCGAAGCTGTTCCTCATAGTGTTTATAAAGGCCTTCCTCGAAAGTACAAAGCAACTTATCCCGATGCGTCGCGCCTGCGTCATCGCTCCTTGTCCCGCTCCTTGTCGAAGCGTTCGGCGTCGTCAAATTCTCGTCGTTCGGACGACTTTGGCGACTTCTCTTCGTGGCACATCGACACAAACTCACATTGCAACGGTGGCCTGCGCAACGCTGTGGACAGCGTGGAAATGCCTCTCCGGGGCCCGGCTGCCCCAGCCTACAAGGTGGACGGTACCATGGAGCCTAATGGGGTCAACGGCAAATACACCACCGGCCTCAACAAGCTCTGGGTGGGCGTGCTCGGCTGCAACACGGATAGTTTCACGCCGGCCTTTCGTGACAAAATCGAGCGAACGCTGCGCACGCACCACGCCGCCCAACCCGTTTGGATTCCCGACGCGGAGTTCACCAGCTGCTACGACGATTTCTGTCATCAAGTGCGTTACCACCGGATCACTGGATCACCTACTAATTCGCATGTGATAACGTAGGTCCTGTGGCCATGTCTGCATTATGCCATCCCCGATGCGCCAAAAACATCGTTCTACCAGGTACGTAGTGATCTACCGCGGACATACCGTTTTTATATTTATTTATCCTCGACATTCCGTGAACTACCACTCGTTGAAAATTCGTGACCCCGACGAACGTGCAGTCACGCTCTTTCGCGCAATACCTGGCCGTCAATCAACGCTTTGCGGATGCGATCGCGGAATGCTATGAGGAGGGCGACATTGGTAATGTTCGTTCCTTGGTTTCCATCATCAGTGTGCTCATCTCTTCGGAATTAAACCTCGACAGTCTGGGTGAACGACTATCACCTGATGCTGTTGCCAAAGCTTCTGCGGGCACATCCCAAATTAGGAAGTAGTGCGCCCATCGGTAAGGCCATTGGCATTGTGTCTGTTTATTTTCTGTTCCCGATTCTTATTCTGATCACTTGTCTCAGGTTTCTTCATGCACGTGGCGTTCCCTTCATCTGAGATTTTCCGTTGCCTCAGCGTGCGCGAGGAACTTCTCAAGGCAAGTCTTGCCCGTGCTACCAAATGGGCGTTTTTGTCTGGTCTAGGACAGTATGCATTAATCGGTATGTGTAGGGTCTTCTCGCTGCAGACCTCGTTGGCTTTCAAACCTCCAACTACGCACGGCATTTCAGACAGACGGTGCACCGTATCCTCGCGATCGAGGCGCTTCCGAAAGGTATTCAGGTTCGTAGTCTTGTCACGGATTGCGATTAAGATATACCTTATGCTGATCCTGCCGTATAGGTGCCCGAAGGAAGCCTTGGCCCGAATGTACATGGACCCGCTTTCGTCGACGTGGGCGTATATCCGATGGGGATCGATGTTGGTCGGCTCAAGGAGCGCAAGTAAGTTTTCAGACGCTACGACAATTGCTCTTCCATATAATATCTGATTCTTACGACAAAAAAAAATAACAGGCAGGATCCGGAGGTGGCGGAATGGATCAATTTGCTGCAGATGCGCTATGCGGGAATGCAGCTTATTGTGAGCCGCGACAAGCTGGACAATATTCAGGGCGTACCTCAGAAGGTTCAGGCGTTCGATATGTTTCTGCAAAAATACCCGGAATTCCAGCAGAAGGTGTGTACGCTGTCTAGGTCATGTGAACAAGTGTGCAACCGGTCCTCATTCGCACTGACAATGTTGAACGCAGGTCGTTCTCTTGCAAGTTGCGCTTCAAACCTCCGAGTCGAACGAACTAGCGGTGGCGGGTAGCGTAACGGATGTCGTGGCGCACATAAATGCCAGATATTCGACACTGACGTACCAGCCAGTCATTTTCCTCCACACACAGGACCTCACGTTCAACCAGGTCTGTTTAATTCTTTTTTTTTTCCGCATGTTTCTGTGCTCTTTGTTCTCGCTTGTGAGAATGGCATGCTGATAATATGTGGACTGTAGTATCTGGCACTGTTGAGTGTAGCGGATGCGTTTATTGTGACGTCTCTGCGCGAAGGCATGGCGCTACGCACACATGAATTTGTCGAATGTCAAGAGGGCAAGTTTGGCCCACTCATTCTCAGCGAGGTTAGTGTGTTTTGATTTCTGGCCTTCGTTGCTGACTGCTTGCCAATTGACACCATGGTATTCGTATATTGAACGTGATGCACCGGTTCATTGCCCTTCGACATCCCCTCCATGCAGTTCACGGGTTCGTACAGTTATTCCGGCTTTCGCTCGTGCATTGCGATCAACCCGTGGGACACGCGCGGCACTGCGAACGCGATCTACCAGGCGTTGACCATGGACGAGGCGGAGAAGAAAAGCCGATGGGAGGTTCGTATCACTTTCGCGGCCCGCCTTTGTTATCAAAACCTCCTACCTTCGTTCTGTTTTATACTGTCCGCTGGACTTGAAACATGCGCTGACTTGTCTATGCAGGACTTGCACAGTCACGTCGTTGCGCAGACGTCGCAGACGTTCGTCACTTCTTTCCTCAACCGTTGCGTGCGCGCGCACATGGAGCACATTTGCTCTGACCTCTATGATGTGCCCATATTCGAGCCGACCAGTCTACTGAATCGGTAAGCGCGCCTGTCGAAATTCTCGATGTTCTGTCAAATGCCGAATTGCTTCTTTCTGCAGATACAAGCACAGCCAGGCGCGATTGCTTTTCCTTGATTTTGAGGGGACGTTGTGGCAACGCACTGTGCCGAGGCGCGCACGCGGTGCGACGGACGCATGCCCCTCTGGCGAGGTGAATAGTATTACTTCTCCGTTAACTGTATGTAAGCAGCGCTCATTCTTTAATGTCCCTTCTAGGTACACGACTTCCCACCTGACGAAGTACTCGATCTGCTCGGCAAGCTTGCCAGTGACTCACGCAACGAGGTGTGGTTAATGAGCGGCCTTGCTGTGAACGGCGTCCTTGACCTCGTTGCGGAGCGCATTCCAGGCATCGGAATCATGTTTGTATCTGATTTTCTTGGCATCACGGATTAGTATATTCTTTTTTTTTCTGCCTCTTTATTTTTTTTTCGACATGCGCCTTGCTAACATCGCTACCCCCAGAGCCGAAAATGGTTGCTTTATCAAGACCATCCCGACATGGCATAGCCCCGCGACGTGGCTAAACATGATCTCGAACTTCGACTTGACGTGGAAGAGCTCTTGCCTCGAAATACTGAACTATGTACGTCTCACCCAGTTCTTGGTGTGAATCACCCTTCTAAATTCACCCCGTGCAGTTCACAGAACGCACCCCGGGCTCGTTCATTGAAGAGCGCGTCGCTTCGTGCGTCTGGCGCTTCTGGACGGGACCGCCCGTTCCCGAGGACAACCCCGACCGGCAATGGGCGCGGCGCCAGGCTGCTGAGGCGCAGAACCACATTTTCGACAGCCTCGGCGAGCGCTTTGGCCTGCGAATCATTCCAGGGGCGAACTCGTTCCTCGTCCTACCGAACAGCGTCTCTCGATCGACGGCCGTCGCCGCTATCCTTCACCCCGGCGGGCCTGTGAAGCACCATTTTGGCGCCAGTATCGGTGCCGGCGCACTCGGCAGGGTTATGAGCGTGTCTTCAGGTGCGCGCATTGGTCCGAAGTAAGCAAGAGCGTTGTTGGGCTTACTTATGGATATATAGGCGTCGGCTCGCCAAGCACGGGTATCATCATGAAGCACGGCCCTGCGCCGATCGTTGGCGGTGTGCCAATGAGCCCGAGCACGCCCCTGTTTTCGACGAGGCGCCTAGCGATGGCAGATGACCACAACAGCACGTCGGTTTCATTTTCGTTTGCCGGCCAAAGCATGCTTCGCGGCGACACGGCGGAGTCGGGTGGCGACATGCTCGTACCAAGCTCGCCGGGATTCGATGCGTCCTCGTTCTCTGGCGCTACCGGGATCGCCAGGCGGCCGTCGGAGGACGTGTCCGGGGCGGTGAGCGGTACGGAAGCGGAGGTATTGCACGCGGTGGGCGATGACCGCTTCGAGTTCGTGCTCGCCGTGAGCGGGGACGAGAAGCTGCTGCGACACATTGACGAGCTGTACCCGCGGGCGAGCGAGGTGCTCGATGCGGCGGAGACGTGCTCGACGAGCGGTAAGCCTACGGACGCGAAGTGGCGACTGGATGTGGGGGATGTGCTTGAGAAGCTGCGTATGTTTACGACTGTGCATTCGCAGCAGGGGAGGCGCGGAAGTATGGTGAGGAATGTTAGGAGGAGCTTTTCAGAGATGGAGTGAGCTGAGAAGTTGCGATTGCGGAGAGCAAACGGATAACCCAAGGCCAGTTGGTCTGGAGGAACAATATCATCATAGAAGGTTTACCAGTTGCAAGACTTTTTTTCTTTCTTTCTTCTCGCGCTTTTTTGTAATATGCTCATGTCACCCCCCATACTCGGGAATCACCGACCAAAAAAATATCTGCTATGTATGTTGTTGTTTTTATGTATGAGATATATGTATGTATGCCTGTTATAGCAATACAATTTGATAATATGTAGACGCACCGTTATGTGTACCATCTGGTGTTGAGCTTCTTCTCGTAAATGAATATATTGGGCTGGGTACTTACATTACGCTGTTATATATATATTAGCTTGAGACGGATCCTGTACATACTGCATCTACTAAAGTGGGTCCATCCACAAAAAGAAACCTCAGCTCCCGCATGAACTCTATTGGACGCGCTGGGAATTGAACCCAGGACCTCTTCCAAATACATCGTACACCAGAACAGATGCTAAGGAAGCGTGCTACCACTGTACCACGCGCCCTGCACCCACCTCCACTTGTATGCAATTTGTTCGCCGAAATTGTGCAAAACAGACCATATTGCAAAGCGAAGGCAAATCTCCTCCAATGAAATACACATATGTATATGTATATATTACAGTGGAGAATACAATGGAGAAGAAAAGAAAAGGATATTACGGTTGTATCAACGTAAGTATGCGCGACTGCGTGCTCGTGGTTTGACGGTGTGCACCCAATACACACGACTGCACACTCAACGGATGCACTCGCACTCGGGCGCTCGGCATGCGGGCTTGTGGTCACAGGAGTGAAGAGGAAGCCACGGATATGTAGTAGGGTCGCGCAAAAAAAAAGGGTGGAGTCACAGGATGACTGTACATAGAGCATGTACATACGAAAAAAAGAAAGAATACGGAATGTGGAGATGGTAGGTACTTCCGGAATGGAGATGCAGACAAAATGAAGGTGGCTACTTAACGAAAAAGGAAATCCTTGGCAGCTGAGCGCTGAGCGCTGAATACCTCGGTCCACGTCAGATTACACAATTCCCGAGACGGAGAGCCGGTGGAAAAGAGGGAGAATTATGTGGAGGAACGGTATCGTTGCAAGTCGAGTAGGAAGAGAAAAAGGTGAGAGTGTGAAACTGATGATCGAGAGGCAAGTGTGGAACTGCACGAAACCGACGAGGAGACGGATGCTCTCGAGATTAAGGAAACAACTGTCCAGACACGGAAAAGTGGCAGCAATTGGAAGCCGTTGGTTATGAGCCGGAGTAGTTCACGGACTAGGGTAGACGGCTCGCAGATGGGGGGGACATGGGATGATGGAAGGGACAAAAGAAAAGAGGACAGTGTACTGGAGTCGGTATTGTGGACGTTAAAGAAATGGTGGGTTGGCTCAGACGTGAAGAAATGTCGAAAAGGGAAAACGTGTTTGAATTGAGAAAAAAATTTCGGATGGCTGTTCTCGAAGAAATCGGCAGTGCAGCGCGAGCTTCGACGAAAAGCACTTTCGGGAACTGGTTGGCCAATATAATGCGAAGGGAGACGATGATGGCACCCTGACTTGCGTTCTCATGTGGGAGAAGCACACGACACAAAAGGATACTGTACTTGATTGATTTGCATGGTGGTGATAAGCATGTGCAGGCATACAAAAATAAGGTGAAGAAAGGAATACACGCATACGATAGATACACTGTAAATGAGTGCAGCTGTTTAACCCCTCTTCTTGGAGACACCGACGGTCTTTCCGCGACGGCCGGTGGTCTTTGTATGCTGGCCGCGGACACGGAGGCCCCAGTAGTGTCGGAGACCGCGGTGGGCACGGATCTTTTTGAGGCGCTCGAGATCTTCACGGAGCTTGGAGTCGACGCCGTTTGAGAGAATCTGAGTGGATGTTGTGAGTTGGGTGGGAAGTGGAGAGGAGGGAGAAGGAGGACCTGGTAGTTCTTGCCGTCGACGATGTCGCGCTGTCTGTTGAGGAACCAGGTGGGGATTTTGAACTGGGTCGGGTTCTGGATGATGGTCACAATGCGCTCGAGCTCATCCGAGTTCAGCTCGCCGGCGCTGCCCATTAGATAAATAAATAAGCAAGGGATGATAAGCAGAGAGCTACCGTTTGTTGAGATCGACATCAGCCTTCTTGCAGACGATGTTTGCGTATCTGCGGCCAACACCCTTTATCTCAGTGAGCGCGTACATAATCTTGCGCTTTCCATCGACGTTGGTGTTGAGCAGACGGAGGATGTGCTGGAACGTCTGATGCTGTTCGGGGACTACGAGCGACATCTGCACAAGCGACACACAATCCACCCCACTCCTCAGTCATTTATTTACCTTGGACAGCAAGTGTCAGCACTCACCGTGGATAGCAGCAGCCGGGCAGTCAGTCTAATACTCGGTGGTCGGTCGTTGGCGCGGACGTCTTTTGCTCGTCGTCACCATCGTTCTGCGCACAACACACACTCGCCCGATCATCACCGTGATCCGATCACATCGACTCAATGCACCTGCGCAACCACCATGATCAGTCTCCTTGTGACGTATATTTACTACATAATTCATAAAACGTCTATTACATATATATCCACCTCTGTCCTTCTCTTCACGTCGAAATGCAACAAGTGCTTGCTGTTGAACAAGCGCTACAAGCTCGTTGTATTCAGCCCCACATACACCGTATGATTTCCCCCATACGTCGTCACTAGGCCGGGTATAGGTGCATCGTATAACTCCCCATCGACATAAACGCCAGCCGACAAGTCCGCCTCTTCGGGGAGATAGATCGTCCCCGTCGTGTTTGCGGGGCTCGTCACGTACAACGTCCACACCCTGTCGTCTTCATTTATGACCCAGTACACGCCGAACCTATCAACGGGAAAGGCGAGGTGCGTTAGCAAGAGGAAAGTGCGAATGTAATGTCACAGGGACCACCAATTTATGTAGAAAAAAGGAAAAACAACAAACACAGGTGATTAAAACAACAACTCACCATCCCAAAGCCGTCTCAAACCCGCCCTGTGCCTCAGTGAGGCCGCTCAGTATGGGACTGACGTCGAACGCCGCGCCGACGGGCGCCGTCAGTTGAAGACCGAGCACGTAGTTCGTCAGCGCCGCCGTCGGGCCCGTGCTCCACCCATGCGAAAGACTCGTGTACGAAGAGTCGTGATCGTACCCGGCGCTGCCGCGGTAGCTGGTTTTCAAAGCAGGGGTTAACGTGGAAAGGGATGAGGGATAGAGGTGAAGGAGAGGAGAGGGAGGGAAGCAGCACTTACCCCAGTGACCCGTTCGCCGTGTAGCCCTCCACAAGCGTCGAGCGCGTCATGATGTCGCTGTATAGTATATACCCCCACTCCGCGCGCAGGAGATCAAGCGCCCGCTCACCCTCGCCCGCGGTAAAGTGCGCTTTGACCTGTGCGTTTGGGGCGAGTTGGTGAGTAAATATGGTTGCATGTTGCAACGGAGGAAGGAGAACAAGCGCGGCAGGTAGACACCACCCACCTCGAATCCGCTCACGAACGGTATAATCGTGTCTGGGAGCTCAGGACACAGCGGGCCGATGTCGGTCCAGAACTGCGTGAGGCCCTCACTCACGGCCTTGTTCTGTTCACTGGTCTCTGTCAGGTTGAACAGCACCGCGAGCGCATTGCCGTCCTGAGGATGCATCGATGTCGTAGCATTGTCGCGGTACATCCCCGCGCTGTCGTCCCACAACAAGTCGTTGAACGCCGCCTTCGCGACGCTCGCGTTGTAAAGGCACTCCGCAGCGAAGTCGTCGTCGCCGAGCAGCGTGGCAAGTTCAGAAGCTAAGGCAAGGGCCTGTGTGAAGACGTCAGTCGAAAGGGCAATTGTTCACAACGAATTGAATAATTGTTATTCAAACTCACGTGATACCAAATCGCATTCGCTGCCGAATTCTGGCCGCTGGCGGCATCTCGACCCCAATCGTTTCCATAACTGTCTTCCACATCAAGCAAGCCCGTGTCCGTATCGACCATCGTCCCAAGGAACGCGAACGCACGGGTGTAATTCTGCCACACGGTCGTTACAAGGTCGACGTCGCCGGTGTACAGCCAGTAGTCGTGCGTGCCGATGAGGCTCCAGCAGATATACGTCACGCTCTCGTATAGGATGAGAGGCGGTCCCACGTACGGCAGAGCGCCCGTCTCTGCGTTCTGTAGTGCGAACATGGTGATGAGTGAATTACGCGGCCCGAGTAGGTCGTCCAATGATACGAAGGCGGTGTGCAGTGAAATGCCCATATCGCCTGTGAGAAATGGAAAACAAGAGGTGTGGGAATTGGGATTAGCAAGCCTCAAAGCAGACGAAGAGAAAGGAGAGAGAGAGAGGAAAGTGCGTATGGGTGGCAAATGGACGTTCAGTCTGACGCGTGCTTACCTGGCCATACCCATCTGCAACAATTTTCGATTCATATCAGCATGCCTGAATGGCATGGCAAACAAATATTATTTACTTACCTGTCCCGCTTCGCACCGTCGGTCAGAATAGGTCCTTCAACCACGGAACCCGTAGCGTTGTCAGCCCATCCTGCAAAGACACCGTGGGTCAGCACGACGAGGAATTCACCAGATGCTTGATAATGTCTGACGACAAGAACACACACACACCTTCTACCGGCCAGTTATACTGCCTCGCCGCATTCCACGGTATGACATTCGTCTGTGCAGTGTACGCACCGGCGTACCAAAGCCTCGTCAAAAAGTCCTCATCGTCCGCATACGCAAAGTCCTTCACGTAGAAGTATCCAGTGTACGCATTAAGCGGCGCGTCCCAGTGAGGCATGAATGTGATATTGACTGCGATGTTCGTGAGGGTTAGAGGCGCGTCACTCGTCGAAGCGAGCGTGAGGTAGCGGAAGCCACCGCGCATGCTGCCCCACGCTTGTGTCCACGTCGTGCCGGCGGCGCCGGACACACTTACGTGCTCCACGCCGTCCGCGTCCATCGCCGCTGTCGCGATGCGGGAGTCATCACTGTTATACGGGCTGATGAACAGCGGAGACTCGGTATATGCGAGCGAGAAGGACGAGTCGTCTGTCGCATCAATAATGTCCACCGATGTCAGACCACCAACCTGTCAACAAGGCATAAGCTACAAGCTGAGTGCGGACGATGAAGGGCAAGGAGATACGGCTGTCTTCTGAGGAGAGGAGTTGCGCAAGTATGGAAATAGAAAGAAAAGAGACAGGCCTCCTTGCCAAAGTCGAAGACGATGTAAGAGCCGTTGCCCGAGAACTCGTACGCCGTGCCATTTGTCACGTTCTCAGCTACCACGAGCGTAGCCCCGCTGATAGTGTGTATCGTTGCAGGGGAGACGAGACGTGTGCTCGGCGCATAGTTGAATTCGTCCCAGGGCCCAGTTGGCGCCCTGGCAGCCACAAGTGCGCCGACCGCAGACAGAGAAAGCAAAAAGAAATGCATGGCTCTCGAGAGTCCTGCAGATGATAGGACTTGGGCGACATGTATATATATCCAGAACGTAGGGCAAATCAGTCAGCT